AGTCGTACTTATTGAAACTCGTGTTACAAATCGTCGAAGCCACAGTCCGTTTCACTCTGATTCGCATCTCTCTTTCCTCACGAACTCCTCTATATTATCCTGCGATACCGGTGATTCTTCAGTCTGCCAGTGACTGAACTCTGGCGTTCTCCTTACCTTGCACTCGCACGTGGTGCACTTGTCATGGGGATCCTGCCAGGAGCTGCCACTATCGTAGATAATGCCGGAGTAACTACAAGGCCGTGCTCTGGTCACATCCTCGAGAGAGGTATCGTTTCCAGGCAACACTCTTCGGCACGGATCGTCCTCGCAACGAGGGCAACAATCCCCGTCCTCTGTCACGGGGTTCGGGCAGGTCAATGGTGGACACTCCATCTGCCAGCAATCTATTTCACCGTACTGCAACACAACGGACAGTGATTTTGTCAGAGACGCTCGATCAGTGATCACTCAGGAAGAATAAATAAATAAATAAATAAATAAATAAATATGCAAGTGAATCCACTACGAGAGATAACATTTGAAGTGAAATGAAGTATAAAGTGCGTGGAAACAATCGTGTGAAATTTACTATTCGAGTTCACGGGAAAGAGACGTTTGAAATGAAAAGTGAGACTTAGAGAAAAGGTTTCCGAGGCTGGCGCCGTTACCAGGCATTCGCAAGTCTGACACTGATATATCCATCGTTCGCCACTTCTGAAGATTAGGTAATGAAGATCTTGATGCCTGCAGGAGGCCGCAGGGTCGCATTGGGGGCAACATTTGTCCGTGCGACTTCCAGGGGCGCTGCAATCGCAGACAGGATCCTTGCACGTGATGACGCCATTCTTGCAAGTGCAACTTCTGCAGGGATTCCCGACTTGCGGCACAGTCTCCCCGTTCATCACCTCTCGATCCTCGAACCAGCAACCTGTCAAGATTGCAGAGAATTCTCTCTCTTTTAAACATTTCTCACCCCCGTCGTCGTTCGAACTCTGAACTTGACAAGTCAAAGCGACGAACAGAGCAGCAACACTGCTCGAAAACGTGAAAACCGAAGAAAGACAAATTTCTATGATTCTTTAGAACCAGACAGGAAAGGGATGACATTGCCAGCCGTTTAGAGCCAGATCAAACTGAAGAGGAATAAATTCCTAAGTTTACTTACTCAGCCTACATTCTTCCATAGTGTGATTGTCAAAGGAGTGTGATGGACAACTACACGTGTAACCTCCCTCGGTGTTGATGCACGTAGCACTAGGATGACAGGTGTGCCTCCTCTCGATCGTTTGGTCGTTGCATTCGTCGATATCGATACACTGCGTACCCTGGGTACTATCGTGCAGACCGATCCTGTAGCCTGGTTTGCAACGACAGTAGTACCAACCGGGCATATTGACACACGTCGACGTTTCATGACAGTTGTCCATGTTGCTCGCGCACTCGTCGAGATCCATTTCGCAACTGTTGCCGGCGTAACCACGCCGGCAAGAACACTCTCCTGGCGCCACGCATTCCCCACCATTCTGACAGACTTGATTGCAGACAGCTGAAGAGAACGAAGAGGACATCCTTATGGATTTATAATGGCAGCAGAAGATAGAGAGAAATTCTGGGGATTCTGTTTATTGAAATCTTTACTACTGTTTCCTGGGTCAAAGTAAAAGCTTTCACGAGTGAAGAGATGAAGCTATAGGAAAGATTGATTCACGATCTAACATATAGAGTAGAATATATAAAAGGTAAGAAAAAAGAAAAAAAAAAAGAAGAACGTACGCTTGCACATGTAACCGTCGCCGGAGTAGCCTTCCTTGCAGGTGCAATAGTAACTTCCGACGGTGTTGACGCAGGTGGCGTGCTCGTCGCACGCGTGATGGCCGGTAGCACACTCGTCCAATTCGGCGCAGTTGAACTTGTCCACTCTGTGGTAACCCGGAAGACACTCGCACGTGTAAGAGCCGATCGCGTTCACGCATTTCGTGTTCGCGTTGCAGTGATGCCCCTCGGAGCCGCCTTGCTGCTTGCATTCGTCTACATCTGCCGTCA